CGGTGGGTTCGTCCCGGGGCCGTCTTCGCTCGCATTTCTTAAGTTCAATGTACTTGTACTCGATCCGATTAGCTCCTTTTGTTTGATGAATCGGCTTCACAGTTGTCACGGATAGCAGCGGCCCATTGGCGGCGATCGGAAGCGATCTCCTCGCAGATGTCAACCTAGTGCTCTTTCCATTGTCCTAAACAGTTACGAGACCCATGCGTTTGACATCCGACTTGACAGTGTTGATCCACGTCTTCAGCTGACCGCCATGTCGTTATCTCCAGTTTGCTCTACGAGCAGGGTTCACAACCAATCTGCAGAGATCCGTCGATGGCCAAACCACTCTAATCGGCGATGCTGGATGTATGAGGCTAGACTTGGAAGTTTGAAACACCTGCGATATAGCTCAACGTTGAAAATTCGATAATACCAGGAGACTTCGAAGATACCTACGGCCAAAGTCTTCGAGCAATAGAATGTCTGCCTTCCTCTTTCGCCATGTTTGGTAGGCATATACTAATGCCGGTCGGCACGATGCTCTATATGTTAACAGCTTACTTCGTAAGTTAATGTCTGAGCGAGACCAGAATTGTCTGGGTAGCAGCCTAACTGCAGTTCAATGTGACCTTGTCTGGTTCTTTATGCACGTGCTGACCAAGCTTGCATTCAAAACTCTGACCGATATTGTGAGTAGCCGCCTTGAGAACGGAGAGCCGGTGAAGCTCTCCGAAACATCAAGAAGTTAAACCTGTTTTGGTGAGCAACTTAATATTCTCAGATTTTCATCCTGGAACTCTCACCCTTGCGAATTTGCTGCACGTGTAGTCAACATTCTCTGCCGTGATCACGATTACCCCTGCTCGTTTAACTGCTGACTCATCTTAGTTTTCTGCCTCCTTTTTAATTTCTCAGGTTACTCAACTCGCCTCGCCAACTTCGTCCCTGCAGTCGACTCCCCGGCCACCTGCCAACAGGCATAGTGCCCATCACTCAGAGGGTTCCCTTCCGCCCCTCTCGATATTGGGTGCTGGTAAATTTTGCGGGTAAGACTTCCTACCGTACCATCTGCTTCCTCTCTACTCTCCTATCTTGTAAATCATCGTAAGCTTGCAGAGTTGTGATTGCCCTCAGTCATCTTCTAAGCAACACTCCCCAAGGCCCCGTCACGCCCCTTTTTCCTTTCAATCTAGGGGTCGGTCAACTGTTTACTTAGTCTAAAGTGTCGGATTTTGTGGATGGATGACCACTTAATAAAGGTGAGGAACATTGCCGAAAAAGGCAAGAGAGACTAGCGGCAATTTCTGGCTTATTGGCTGTCATCAGCCAGCCATACCCAAGCCCAGGGGTTTGAGCACCCTAGGCTCGAATCCGCTACCTTGCTAGTTAGAAGTCAACGCTGTAAACCTTTGAGCCACGGTCTCATTCTATTTATAATACTAGCCGCTGTGCGGTTGTTGGTAGGGCTCGAGAGTGAACCCATGACATAATAAAGACAGAAAGAGAGAGAGAGAGAGACGCCTTATTTTGAAGTTGGCATCCACAATTTTCAGCAAAAAAGGCTCTATTCACTGAGACCAAGAGCCAAATTAACAAAATGTTCTAACCTACATAAAATATACATTTTTTATGAAGGCAAGTCCATTCTCAACCTCTGGACTTCTGTTTCTTTACACCTGAGGTAGCGTGCTAGTAACGGAAGTATGGAGTGCTGATATGCCGATGTACGGCAGGACATAGGTCGGAAGCTTCGGTACATAGTGCAGGAAGACTGCGCAGCCATTAATTCAGAGTGGAGCGGATGGGCAGCCTCATTCAGAATCCGAATGGCGAATTGCTTCACCGTTATAAAGCGTCATCTAAAAGAGAACATCAGAAACAGCAGCAGCTGAAGAGAGCATTCGAAGGATATACTTAAAAATAAAGAAGTCTTTTTGCGCAAGGCTGGAAGAATAACGGGAGAGCAGTGGAGAATGAGGGGAAGAATGCAAGCCTCTAGAAATGGCCAGATATGAACGTAACCGGCGGATATAATACACAAGTTCACGAATTTTAATGAAGACAGTTTTAAAATGAAGGGTAAGTTATCAGAGTAACACCAAGGTACCGGAAAGAGGATACGTCATTGGACACGATGTCTAAAGATTGAGCACTGGGAAAGGGTCGCAATCGGATGACAAAATGGTCCGACTCCTGGTTATGCAGTAGAAGACCACTGGCTAATGACCATGGTGACACGTGGTCCATACCATCTTTCAGTACCTAAGAGGATGACCAACAACCATATCATTAGCCTATTTTACGCACAAACGTTCATTTGACGATCATAGATCGTCATTACAGTGGTAAAAGTCAAGTATATCCCGTAACGTGATCAGCCAGCACCCATCTACCGCTTAATAAAGCCGGTCAGGATGATGAGTCGGGTTTAGATCGCAGAGATTGCGGTAGGAGCGTTTGTAGTCCAAAGTAACCTGCCATCAAAAAGGTCGGCTAGCTTACGTGTTGTGAGAGCTACAGCTGGCTAGAGCACTTGGGCTCTGACTGACATTAACCTCATCAAAGCAACTGCTAGTTCTGTGTACTCTGGCTGTAATCGAAACATCTCAGTATTGCTTTCTGTCTTACCCCAGCCGCTTCTCAGCGTAGGGCATGTCACAATTTAAAGAAGAGGAAAAATAACGATGCCATTTTCTCCCGCATCCTCCCTAGCTATTTCCACTCATAAGAAATGCTTTCTTGCTTTTCAGGTTATTATCGGAACCGGATGAGGAGCCTTCTCGAAACTCCGAAGCCTCCCAGACGTACGTTATTTCTCTTCCCTCTTCCAATGTCACTTTCAATAATCCCCTCACAATTCCGACTTAACGACAGTTGGACCGCCGATAGAAGCGAATATTCGAGTTCCAGGGAGCAGTTCAGATGTATGCGATGCGATCGTTGGACCGGAATCTGTGCATGTATCACACTATTCTACGATTACCTATTATTTAGGGGGTTCTCTACAGAATCCGAAACGTCAGGCATGTGAACTCCTTGTTCTAGCTATCGCATCGTCC